ATTGACTATGGCACCGGTGTTAGTATTGCCGACTCCGAGCGAACCGTTTGTGGTGTACTGTGATGCGTCTAAGATGAGATTAGGCGGAGTTCTTATGCAGAATGGTAAGGTGGTGGCGTATACTTCACGACAACTGAGGGTACATGAATGGAATTACCCTACTCATGATCTTGAATTGGCTGCGGTAGTTTTTATGTTAAAGATCTGGAGGCACTATTTGTATGGTTCAAGGTTTGAGGTGTTCAGCGACCATAAGAGTCCGAAGTATCTGTTTGATCAGAAGGAGCTAAATATGAGACAGAGAAGATGGTTGGAATTCTTGAAGGATTATGATTTCAGTTTGAGTTATCATCCAGGAAAGGCAAATGTGGTAGCAGATGCTTTGAGCAGAAAAGCAATTCATGTGTCGGCTATGATGGTGAAAGAAATGGAACTTGTTGAGCAGTTCAGAGATTTGAGCATGGTTTGTGAGACTACGGCAGATTGCGTGATGTTGGGCAAGTTGCAATTAAACAACGACTTCTTGGATATGATTAAGGAAGGCCAAAAGCTAGATGTGAAGCTAGTGGAATTGATGTCTGGAGTAGGAAGTGACTCCTATAGTGATTTTAAGTTGGATAGTGCAAGTGTGTTGAGATTTCGGGGCAGGATTTGTGTGCCGGATAATGACGAGCTGAAGAAGTCAATTCTGAGTGAAGGACATCGTAGTAGTTTGAGTATTCATCCGGGAGCTACGAAGATGTATCACGATTTAAGGAAGATATTTTGGTGGTCAAGTATGAAAAGGGATATAGCTCAGTTTGTTTACGCCTGTTTGACGTGTCAGAAATCGAAGGTGGAACATCAGAGACCCTCTGGATTTATGCAACCGTTGGAAATTCCGGTTTGGAAATGGGATTGTATCACTATGGATTTCGTTACGAGATTTCCAAACACGGCAAGAGGATTTGATGTTATTTGGGTGATTGTGGATCGGCTTACGAAGTCTGCACATTTCGTGCTGGTTAATATCAGTTTTCCGTTGGAAAAGCTGGCAGAGATTTATATTCGGGTGATTCTGAAACTTCATGGTGTGCCGTCGAGTATTGTGTCGGATAGGGATCTGAGGTTTACTTCAGAATTTTGGAAGAGTTTACAGGAAGCTTTGGGTACTAAGTTGAAGCTGAGTTCAGCTTATCATCCACAAACTGATGGACAGTCAGAGAGAACTATTCAGACGTTGGAGGATTTGTTAAGGGCTTGTGTGTTGGAGAAAGGTGGTGTGTGGGATACTCATTTACCATTGATCGAGTTCACGTACAAAAACAGTTACCATTCTAGTATCGGAATGGCACCTTTTGAAGCTTTGTATGGTAGAAGGTGCATAACTCCTCTGTGTTGGTATGAGACGGGTGAGAATGTAGTATTGGGACCAAAAATTATGCAGCAGACTACTGAGACAATTCAAATGATTCGTGAGAAAATGAAAGCGTCTCAGGATAGGCAGAAGAGTTATCATGATAACCGGAGAAAAGAGTTGGAATTCAGTGAAGGTGATCATGTGTTCCTGAGAGTTAACCCAGTGACCGGTGTGGGTCGTGCGTTGAAATCCAAGAAGCTAGATCTGAAGTTTATTGGGTCGTATCAGATTTTGCAGAGAATTGGTGTTGTGGCTTATAGGGTGGCGTTGCCGCCTGAGCTTTCGAATTTGCATGACGTGTTTCATGTGTCGCAACTTCGAAAGTATATCAAGGACCCATCTCATGTGATTCAGAGAGATGAAGTGCAGGTTCGGGAGAATCTTACCGTTGAGACGATGTCGTTGAGGATCGAAGATCGTAAGATGAAGCAACTCCGAGGGAAGGAGATATCCTTAGTGAAAGTGGTCTGGCGAGGTGCTGCAGGAGGCAGTGTGACCTGGGAATTGGAAAGCAGGATGCGGGATGCGTATCCGGAATTGTTTCCATCAGGTAATTTTCGAGGACGAAAATAATTAAAGTGGGGGAGAGTTGTAACACCCATTTTAATTATCTAGTCTTTTTGTGTTATTTTATTTCCGGTGTACCTTTTGTGGGGGTGTGTTTGAGTGCGTGGATGGTGCCCTTAAGTTTGAAGATTAGTTACTAAACTTTGGACCTTGATATTAATAATATAATTATTAGTGATAATAATTTAATAAATAATGGTAATATTATTATTAATATTATTATTATTATTATTATTATTATTATTATTATTATTATTATTATTATTATTATTATTATTATTATTAAGTGAGTAAGAATTGATAAGGAGGTATTTTTGAGTTGGAAAGAAGAGAAACACGATAAAAGAGGAGAAGAGGAAGAACATGGTCTAGAGTGGGAGAAAGATTGAAGGGAAGAATCAAAGAGGACGAGAAGAGGCCAAGATTATCAATTCTTCGAGGATTTTCAACATCTGATCGAGTTATCGAGGTAAGGGGGGAGAAACGGGTGGAAATTGGTATGTTTGCATGAATTCTAGGTAGAAGGTATTTTCCCCAATCCCATAGGAATTGATGAACGTGTTTGATGTGTTATTGTGATTTTAATTGTTGCTGGTAAGATAGGTTTGTTGCATGTGGTTGTAGAATGATGGTTTGGATGATTTGGGGTTTCCGAGTAGTTTACCATTTTAAGCCGAAAATGCGTTAATCGGTAGAGTTGATGTTTTATCGGGTGGAATCTAGAATAGATTATGTAGCTAAGTCGCAGAATGTTGAACTGGTGTTGTGGGAACTGGTTTGAGGGAAATCAGATGATTTCGGAGAGTTTTGCCGATTCTGAACAGTGGGGTTTTTGTGAAATCGCAGGCGTTCGCCAGCACTTTCGCTGGGCGAGCGAGTAGCGAACATTCGCTGATGTTTCGCTAGGAGAACTGGGTAGCGAGTGCTTCTAGTAGCCACTGTCTGCCTTCGCTAGGGAGTTCGTTGATGCTTCGCTAGGCGAGTGAGCCAGCGAGCATGACAGTAGTTGTGTTTTTGTGTTGTTTTGTTATGTTCTCTTGTGTTGTGGGACCCCTGTTGGTCATGCTTGAATATAAGATTGGTGTTGAACAGTTAAGAGTGTATGTGTGGTGTTGGAATGTGATTTCCGTGTTATTCGTTTAATTAGAATAATTAATTGGTATATGTTATTATGTATGAATATGGTGATGTGTGGAATATGTATGTGCGATGTATAAAATGTGATCAGTAGGATCGTGTGCACCTTGTGTGCTTGGATTGTTGTTGTGCATTGGTGTCGTGCATATCATGATGTTTTGGTGGGGTTGAATCGTTGCTCAGGAGGAGTGTATGTGATTCACCCGTACTCCTGTGTGGAGAATGGTGGGATGAATCGTTGCTCAGGAGGAGTGTATGCGATTCATCCGTACTCCTGTGTGGAGAATGGTGGGGATAGATCATTGCCATTAGTGGGTGTATGTGATCTATCTTATGCTCCCTTGTGGAGGGTTGATGGCCCGGTGTCCATCGGTGATGTTGAGTCGGTACTGCATATCATGGTGTTGAGTTGCATATTTTTGCATTGTCTTGTGTGCTGTGTTGGTGTTGGACAGTAGGTCCGGGTTGATGTATGTTGGATGATGTTAGTATGATTACTGCCTTTTGTTCATGTACATTATTACCGCTATATTTTGATCGTGATTTCTCACCCCTTTGTTATTGTTGTGGTCTGTGCTTCTTCGGAAGTACAGATAATCCAGGTGTGTAGCTAGCTTGGATAATGGCGAGTCGAGTCGTAGGGATGCTCTGATACGTAACACGGGGATTTGGGAGTTTATTGTTTTCTGATGATTTTGTTTTACTCTGTGGTGTATCATGTTTTGTTGGAATCTTTGGTGAAAATGGTGTATATTTTTGGGCGGATGGCCGAGTATGATGTATATATGTATATATGATATTTCCGCTGTTTACTGTTGAAAACCATTTAATGAAGTGTGTTGTTGAGTTTCTTTTGTGATATCCCGCTTTGGTGTGGCAACTCTGATAATTACTTGATTTAAGTGTTATTTTTTTTAATTTATATTTATTTTGGGGAGTGGGGTGTTACAGTTACTCCCCTATGATATCCTTCCCCACAGGATTTTGTCTTACATTCTTTTCATATCATATCGTTTCATATCATGTGTCTCTTGTGGCATCTTAGGGCCAAAAATTCGTGCAATGTTTGTATTTAAGTCTCTCATATCACGTCGAGACAGGAATATCGATCTCCATATCTCCGGATAAAAGAAACTTAAATAAGGGTATCTGTCGCACCCTAATATTTGAACCTAAGACCCCATTTCCTCATCACGCATGGCTAACCATCCTTATGTTTTGTTTTGTTTGTTTGCTCACTAGTAAATTAGGTTTACTTCAAAGGAACCTCAAGGATCAGCCAATCAAACTTTGGAAATACCCTATAGTAAATTAGGTTTACTTCAAAGGAACCTCAAGGATCAGCCAATCAAACTTTGGAAATACCCTCGACCGAGTGCTCTTTTTTCTTCACGATTGGTGTACTGACCTCTTCAACATCTAAATCTTTGGTTATGCAAATGGCGAAGATCAAATTTAATTCAAGAAAGACTTTTGGCCCTTGTTCATGAAGTTGGATCACTATTTAGGAAGTTCATCGTTTCCTCGTGGTTTATTTTGGGAATAGTGAATTTAAGTATATTACGAATCAAGTTGTGGCAAGAGATTAGCAAAAGAAATTCATGTTGTTTACAACTATTTTCGATCCATTTCATCTTACAACTTCAAGCTCAAGTCATTCGCCCAAGCCACGACTTCCTCCCACTCCCAAAATCCAACTCATTGACCCCAAATTAATAAATTTAAGGTTATAAGTTTATTACAAGTCCCATAGTGGAGTTATTTTCATAGAATTAGGATCCATAATGAAATTTCATGTTTGGCTCGAAGCTCCAGGACCACCTTTTCTCATTAATATACCAGTCAAGAAATTAATATTTGAAGTCATACAAGAGCAAGTAATTAAAATTCACAAGCCATGCCAAGATTCATAAATCCAACATTAATCCAAGTAGCAAGTGTACAAGTCTCATTACAAGAACAAGGAAGACAATTTCTTTTCATCATGGTACAAGAAAGTTCAGATAAAAAATATAAGGGTCCTACAAAGACCCAAGCTACCAAGCATGAGGAAATCCCTGTTCGTCAAAATTCCAAAAGGTCATCAAACTCAAAGGGAATCAATGGATGGTTGCAGCAATCTCTCCGCCCAACCGCGGAAGGACTTCACTTCCAAACTGTCTTGAAGACGCCTCTAAAACCCGCCGGCTACCAGGCCATAAAGATAGAACGACAAACACACTCCACCTAGCGGCGACCTGTTGAACAAATTTATTTTTTGGAAGTTAAGCAAAACAGAAATAGAAGACACGATCGGCATGACAGTACTCACCATTGCCACCCAAAGAGCAGATTTAAGGACTGAAAATGTCAACTTATCTCCATTGACCACTATTGATGATGTAAATGGGTCTCGGTCATCTTCTATATGTCCCACATCTCCTCCTCACTTTTAAGAAGACATTCTTCATTGCCGCCATAACTTGTTGGAGGAAATTTTGCAACTGTCGGCTGATTCCTTTTTAGTGGTGCCTTCTGATAGTAACACAAGCTATAGTGTAATTGATTGCACCGAATTTGAATCACTAGTTCCTGTAGTTGATAGTCCCCCATGCAAATAATGTGAATGGGAATGTCGATGGACATGTATCTCCAAGTCAACACGAGGAAGATTATTGCAGCCCTAGACAAGGAATTATTCATGCAGGGAAAAGTGACATTTGTTCAGTTGGTTCATCCAGTGACCAAACTTTCTAAGCAGTGTTCAATTGACTTTGCTGTAGGTGCTGGCGATGGCAATGGTGAGAGTGCACTTTCTGCTAGCCAACAAACTGATCTGTTTGAGAAAAGAAAATCAGAAACTTTCTGCTAGCCAACAAACTGATCTGTTTGAGAAAAGAAAATCAGAAAAATCCAAGAAGAGAGTTATTTCAATATTTGAAGATAACGTAGACATCAAAGCATGTGGTCACAAACAAGAGCAGATGCACCAAGGACATGTTTCTGGAAATTTAAGACAAGAATCAGGTGTTGATAATTTCACTGATTTTAGTTGGCGTTCTTGCTCTACCCTAGAGAATGACGATTTTACCATCACATATTTCAATACAAATATTGCTGATTCTGAAGCCAGAGAAGAGGTTGCCCCATTGTTTTCGATTCTGCAATATCCAAAGTCAATCACTGTCAGGATTGACAAAAGAACACAATTCAATCAAAATGGTACTTAATTCATGGCAATATCTACAGGATCAGACAAGTACAAAACATAAAAAACTTGGGTTTAATTCCTTTCTAAAACAGACCCAGAGATTATTCCCCTAAGCATTTAGGGCAAACCTAACTTCTCCAAGCAGACTCAGAACCGCCCGATTTGTTTTAAAGATCATTCATTGCCTTGTCCCGAACACCATCCAACCTGTTTAATCCAGAATGGAAATAACATCAACACAGTTAATGACAGAATTGCCGATTGCACAAAAACGGAAACATATGCACGACAAGAATCATGCCTTATTTCTTTCCGAATTCGAAATCACCAGTTGGCTTCTATGCATTTAATCTGAACTGATTAGGGATCCTATAGAGCCTATATAAGAAGAGGATCTACATACCTTACAGGAGGTCAATCATCGCATACACGCATAAGCACGAACTCTAAAACCCAACTTCGAGATCCATAGTAGAACAACCTCAACACGCCTCTTTGTCGCCTGTCGCGCGGATCATTGGAGGAGCCGCAAAACCATCATAAAGCTCTGTCGCCAACGTCGTTCTCGAAGAAGCCATCCAAACCTTCCGTGACTCGTCGTCGGTAATCCTTTCTTCAACATTCTCTACGATTTGTATCTGATTCTTTTTATTTTCTTTGAGGAACTCTGGAAGAAGGAAGATGGCGAAATGAAGAAGGATTTGCGCCGCAAGCGATCTCCCTGTTGTGCCCCATGTATTGATCTCCACGACCTAGCCTCGGTCGGGCTTAAGAGGATTTGGGCCCTCTTATCATTTTTGCAACATTCTTATGATGGGCCCATGGTTTTTTGTGTGTGTTCAATTTTATTTTCATCTTATTTGCCTTTTAATTCAATATTACTCTAGTAAGGATCTAATACTTAAATTACTAAATGATGATTATTTTTAGTAATTTTGAATTAACTAGATTTTTAATTGATTAATGGGACTCTAATAATCTTAATTAACAGACTAATCCCCTGGTCAATTTACAGTTAAACCGTAATCAATTCTATTTTCAACGGACCAATCGATTACGTCATACGCTGAGAGTATTTTGATACTCCCTTAAACCCATGTTTCAATTTTACCTCCGATGACCCGATCTAGATTAAGCCTCGTAATCAATCCGGCTGCATGACAACATCAGGCTAAAATCCATGTTCAATTTTGGATTTTTCGATCAATTTTTACTTGACCACTTATCTTATCTTGTTTCTTTATTTTTGATAATTACTTATGATATTTATATCTGTATCACCGCTTATGTCGTATATCCAAGGGAAGAACTCGTGCATAACTTCTTTAAGTTGTACACGTTGCATTTCATCTGCATCATTTCCCCGCTTGATCCTTGACTTTTTCAAGTTGATCAGCTTAGGAGTTATCCTCTTATACCTTAAGATAGGGAAGATTCCCTTAAATCTTTCAACTTAGATAAACTTATAATGCAATTTAATCCTCTATTTTCCCCACAAGAGAATTAGACGTGATTCATCTACGTAGTCGAGATGTAAACCTCCTACCCCACAATATAATCGTGAGATGTAGAATCTTTTTCGCTAGAGAGAGGTATGAGGTATATTCGTTGATAAACATCTGAATTAGGGCCCTTCTCTCAATGCGACGCAAATATCATCTTCGATACATTTGTGGAGGTTAAGTCGAGTATTCTCCTTAAGATGACGACTTGTCTCTTCTCCTAGAATAAATCAACAAACCTTCTTCCCCTTGGAACTTTAACCACAGTTAATGGTTCCTCAATCCCTTGAGGGGAACTACGAATGCTCTGATTTCATTCCTGTCAGGGTACGTAGGCACGAGATGCGATGTCTTGGCGAGCATACTTAGGAATAACACCTTAAGTCTCCCTTTTATTTTCACCCTTTAGCAGACAAAATAACAAATAACACAATAAAACAAGAGGTTCTTGTATAGTACTACAAATACATAGGATGCTAACACCTTCCCTAGATATAACCAACCGCCGAACCTTAGATTCTCTTTTACTTTGTTTTTGCATTGCATGTTCATGGGTTATTCGTTCTTTTTCCCTTCCCTTGGATAAATTAAAGATCAGTGGTGAATTATGATTTGTGATTCAAGTTAATTAATAGCTTGGTATCTGATTCTCACTGTGACACACACCACATTCTAGCCGGTCATGCATCACATATGTCGGGAATACATGATGTAGTATCTTAATGATGAAACCGCATTAAATGTGATTATCCGCCATTACTTTCTCAAAATTGATCACAAGGGATTTAGTTTTATCTCGCGTCAGACTACGACATGGAGGTCATTCAGTGATACTTAAGGCTTCCCCCGATTCCTTTAGTATCTGGGAAAGTCTTGGGGGCAACTGTTTTGGATTGACCAAAGGCTCAATAGACCAAGGCTTAATCCATCTCATACTGTTCTACTCGAGCCAATATATATAAACAATTGACATTTGATGAAAAGGTACACAATGTCTGACATCCAATTTCACTATACTCATCTTGAATCTGAAACTGACATAGGCATTAGAGTGATAACCATGCAAGTCCACTATGCGCTGCCACGATGAAGATCGGAGCCACCGTTCAAGATTAACATTTATCCAAATCTCCTCATTTGGTTCCTTCATGGAGCTAGATCATCCATTTCTAGTTTCTGAATTGAGCAATAACCTTGTTGTTCTGGTTAATAGTTGTCAGACGTAAGAAATTAGTATTCATAAGGGGTTGAAGCAACATGACCTTTTAGCCTTTTTTATCTTCCTTCTTATGGTGGAAGGTCATAATGGGTTGGTTGAAATGCTAGTGGAGCTTGACTTATTTTATAGGTTTTGGGTGGGAACCTCAAATTTTATGGTCTTCGTTGTCAGTATGCAGACTCTTATATAGGTCGAGGCTTTAGTGGAGATCCTTTAGGTCATTAACACCATCCTACGAGCCTTTGAGCTTTCCTCGAGTCTCCATGTTAATTTTTCTAAGAGTTGCTTGATTGTTATTAATATGAACCCATTTTAGGGAGGTAATTGGATATTTTATTCAATGTAATATGGACCCTTTCCCTTTTAGGTATGTTTTTTTTTTATGGGCTTCAACCCCATCTTAATTCTACTTGGAAGCCTTTAGTTTATCTTATCTTTATAAGATTACTTTTCTAGTGGCACATGTATGTTAGTTTAAAGGGGGAGGGGTAGGATGGTTAGAGGTGTTAATTTAGAGGATCAATAAATTTGAGCTCTAGCCCACTTAATGAGGGGCCTAAAAAACTAAGAATAAGAGGATTTCTTAATGCACTCCATATGCTTCTTACACACCATGAAAAATTCTTAAACTATCCTCAGTTTTCGGAGATGTATCTCGAGACGCACCAAAAGGGCAGTTAATATTAACATATTCCGGAACATTTTGGAAGTCAAATCGCGCAAGACTCACCTCCTTCCTCATTTTTCACATTATCCAAACTCAAATTCAAACTCTCTCAAATTTCTTCTCTACATCAAGTTAAAACTCAATCAACAAGGTTCAAGGGAACATCAATCATCATCTGTAACACCAGAAACAACATCAAAAACATTAATTTCTTGTAAGTTTTTTTAGTTTTCGAGAAATTTTTGAGTTTTTGTGTAAATGAGAAGAAATCAATTATTAAAGATAGGAATGAGTAGAAATAACATTTAAGATAGTTTTGACATAGTGTATTAGATGTTTATTGGCTGAAAATGATGATCAAGATAAGTTTTTTTAGATTGTATGGGGTAAATTGACGCAATTGACGCAACTTCTGAGTTATAAAATTTTTTGAAGATGCATCTACGGAATTTTTCAGCGTTTTAGTTTCCCAGGGAATTCCGGAGATGCATCTCTAGATTTTTTTAGTGTTTTAGTTTCCCAGATTCCTGGGATGTATATCCAGAATTTTTTGTAGTATTTTTTTATTTTCTTGCATGTGTGTTGTTTGACTACACTAATGGTCTGCCTTACTTTAACTTACATGCATAATGGCTGATAGATAGGATAGACA